CGCTGCTACTGCTGCCGCTTGTGGTCCTACTACTGCTGCAGCTTTTGTGGCTACTACTACTGCTGCTGTTTGTGGCTGCTGCTACTGCTGGTGCTTGTGGTCCTACTACTGCTGCTGCCAGGTCCCACATGGCCGCTGCTTGTGGTCTTACCACTGCTACCGCTTGTGGCTCTACCACTGCTGCTGCTTGTGGTTCCTACTACCACTGTGCTGCTTGTGGTCTACCACTGCTGCTGTTTCAGGCTGCCGTTACTGCTGCTGCTTGTGGTCTTACCACTGCTGCTGCTTGTGGTCTTACTACTGCTGCTGCTTGTGGCTCTACCACTGCTGCTGCTTGTGGCTCTGCTACCGCTGCTGCTTCAGGCTCTTACCACTGCTACTGTTTGTGGCCTCACTGCTGCTGCTGTGGCTTCTGCTACTGCTGCCGCTTGTGGTCTCTACCACTGCTGCTGTTTGTGGTCTTACTACTGCTGCTGCCTGTGGCCGCTGCCACTGCTGCCGCTTGAGGTCCTACCACTGCCGCTGCTTGTGGCCCTCACTGCTGCTTGCTCTGTGGCCGCTGCTACCAGCGCTGCTTCAGGTTCTCATTACTGCTGCCGCTTGTGGCTACTACCACTGCTGCTGCTTGTGGCTGCTGCTACTGCTGCTGCTTGTGGTTCTACTACTGCTGCTGCTTTCAGGTCTCGTTTCACTGTTGCTGCTTTATTCTGCCAATTGCTTTGCTTGTGGTCTTCACTGACGTTGCCGTTGGTCTTTACTATCACTGTTGCTGCTTGTGGTTCTGCTATTGCTTGTTTGTATTGCTGCTGCCAGGGTCTTACCACTGCTGCTGCTTGTGGTTCCTACTACGTTGCTGCTTGTGTTCTACTACTGCTGTTGTGGTTCTTACTATCGTTGCTGCTTGTGGTCTCCTCTTCGTTGATTGTTTGTGGTTGCTGCTGCTTGTTGTTTCTACCATTGCTGCTGCTTTGTGGTCTACCACTGTTGCCGTTTGTGGTGCTGCTGCCGTTGCTGCTGGTTGCCGTTACTGCTGCTGTTTTGGCGTCTGACTACTGCTGCTGCTTGTGTTGGTTCTACCGTTGCTGTTTCAGGTCTCTACCACTGCTGCTGCTTGTGGCTCTACCACTGCTACTGTTTGCGGTCGCTGCTTGTTGTTTCTACCACTGCTGCTTCTGTGTTCTCTTCACCGTTGCCGCTTGTTTTCATATCTGCCGCCAGTTCCCCATCGCTGCTTGTGGTCTCACTATCGGTACTGTTTGTATTGCTGCTGCTTGTTGTTTACCATTTGCTGCCAGTTTTTCAGGTCTCACCATGCTGCTTGTGGTTTTCGCCATTGCTACTGTTTGTGGCTGCTGCTTCTTGTTGCTTCTACCACTGCTGCTGCTTTCAGGTCTTACCACTGTTGCTTGCTTGTGGCTGCTGTATTGCTGCTGTTTGTGTCTCAATTACTGCTGCTGCTTTGTGTCTCACCACTGCTTACTGGTTTTGCTGGCTCTGCTTCGGCTGTCTCTTGTGGCTCTTACCACTGCTGCTTGTATGGTCTCCTACTTCACTGGTGCTGGTTTTGTTGCCTCCCACCACTGCTCTGGCTTCCCACACTGCTCCACTCTTTCAGCTTTGTTGCTTCTACCACTGTCTGTTTGTGGTCTCACTACCGCTGCTGCTTGTATTGCTGAGCACTGTTGCTGCTTGTGGTTTCTTTTACTGCTTGCTGCTTCTGGTCCCACTGCTGCTGTTTAGTTGTTGCTGCTTGTTGTTCTACTTCACGTTTGTGGTTCTCACCACTGCTGCTGTTTGTGGTCGCTGCTATCGCTACTGCTTGTGGTTCTGATTACTGCTGCAGCTTGTGGTCGCCACTACCACTGTTGCTTGTGGTCTCACCACCGTTGCTTGTGGTCTTACTGATTGCTACTGTTTGTATTGCTGCCGTTTTTCGTTTGCTTCTGCTTGTGGTCTCACTTCACCGCTGTTGCCGTTTGTGGTCTCACTGCTGCCGTTTGTATTGCCACCGTGGTTACCACCGCCGCTTTAGGTTTCACCACTGCTGCTGTTTGTGGTTGCTTTCGGTTCTCATCGTTGCGTTTGTATGCTGCCATTTGTGTTGGTTTTACTGCCACTGCTTGTGGTTTCACTTGCTGTTTGTGGTTGTTGCCACTTTTTGTGTTTCACTACGCCGCAGTTTGTTGCACTACCACTGCTGCTTGGGTTCATTACTGTTGCTTGTTTGTGGTTGCTGCCATTGCTTTCGTTGCTTGTGGTCTCTGATTGCTGCTTGTGGTTCTACTTACGCTGCTGCTTGTGGTTGCCATCTGCTGCTTTGTGGTCTCATCACTGCTACTGCTTGAGGCTGCTGCTACTGCTTCAGGTGTTCACCACTGCTGCAGCTTGTGTTGCCACTACTGCTGCTGTTTGTGGTCTTACCATCGTTGCTGTTTGTATTTGCCATCGTTGCTGTATCTCACCACTGCTGGTTGTTTTGTCTCCACTACCGTTGCTGCTTGTGTTGCCACTGCTACTGCTTTGTGGTTCACCGTTGTTGGGCTGCACTACTACTTGCTGCTTGTTCACTATCGTTGCAGCTAGGTTCCACCACTGCTTGTGGTCTTTACTACTGCTACTGCTTGGTCTTCCTATCACTGCTACTGCTTTGTCTTACCATTTCACTGCTTGTCTCGTTGTCTACATTCTGGTTTTGTATTGCTTTGCTTTGCTTGTGGTCTCATTTCATCGGTTGCTGCTTGTATTCCCACTACTGTTGCTTTGCTCTGTGGTTCACCACTGCTACTGTTTGTGGTCTTACTACTACTGCCGTTCAGGTCTACTTATCACTAGTTGCTTCTGGTCTTGTACGCTACTGCTCAGGTCTTACTACCATTGCTGTTCAGTGGTCTCACTATTGTTGCGCCGTTTAGGTCTTTACCACTGCTACCGCTTTGTATCTTACTACTGTTGCTGCTTCTTGTGGTCTCTACCACTGCTACTGCTTTGTGGTCTTACTACTACTGCTTGTGGTTCTTACTACTACTGCTGCTTGTGGTTCCCACTATAGCTACTTGCTTGTGTCTTACTACTACTCTGTTGCTTGTGGTCTGTTTACTACTGTATTGTTTGTATTGCTGTTGCTTTAGGTTCTTACTATCGTTGCTTGTAGGTTCCTACTGCTACTGTTTGTGTTCCTATTACTGCTTACTGCTCAGGTTCCTACTACTACTGGCTTGGGTCCTACCACTGTTGCTTGTAGGCTCTCTACTACCACTTGCTTTTGTGGTCTCTTACTACTACTGCTGCTTGTGGTCTTAACACTGCTACTGCTTGAGGTTCTACTACTGCTACTTTGCTAGGTCTTACCACTTTCACTGCTGCTTGTGGTCTTACCACTGCTACTGTTTGTGGTTGCTGCTTGCTTGTGGTCTTCATCACTGTTGATGCTTTGGTCTTATCATCGCTGCTGTTTGGTGGTCTTACTACTGCTACTGCTTGTGGTCTCCCCATCACTGTCTTCTGGTCTTACTACTACTGCTGCTTGTGTCTCTACTACTGCTACCGTTTGTGGCTTCACTACTACTACTGTTGCTTGTGGTCTTTACTACTGCTGCTGTTTGTGTCTACCACTGCTACTGCTTTGGGTTCTACTACCGCTACTGCTTGTGGTCTTACTACTACTGTTGCTGCTTTGTGGTCTCTACCATCGCTACTGTTTGTGGTTGCTGCTGCTTGTAGTCTTCATCACTGCTGCCGCTTGTGGTCTTTACCACTGCTAATGCTTGTGTGTCTACCACTGCTGCAGCTTAGTTCTATCATTGCTGTTGTGGTCTTTACTACTGTTGCTGCTTGTGGTCTTCTACACGTTACTGTTTGTGGTTGCTGCTGCTTGTTGTTTACCACTGCTGCTGCTTGTGTTCTACCACTGCTACTTGCTTGTTGCTTCTACTATTACTGCTGCTTGTGGTTCTTACCACTGCTGCTGCTTGTGGTCTTACCACTGCTGCCGTTTTCGGCTCTACTACTGCTGCTGCTTGTGGTCTTTACATCGTTGCTGCTTGTGGTTGCTGCTACTGTTGCTGCTTGGGTCTTTACTACTGCTTGTGGTTGCTGGTACTGCTACTGTTTGTGGTCTTTACCACTGCTGCTGCTTGTGGTTCTACTACTGCTGCTGTTTGTGGTTCCTTTACTGCTGCTGCTGTTTCGTTCCTACTACTGCCGCTGTTGTTTGGTTGCTGCTGCTTGTGGTCTTCTACTACCGCTGCTGTTTGTGGTCCTACCATTGCTGCTGTTTGTGGTCTTACCACTGTTGCTGCTTGTGGTTGCTTGCCACTGCTACTGTTTGTGGTCTCACCACTGCTGCTGCTTGAGGTTCTACCACTGCTGCTGTTTGTGGTCCTTACTTTACTGCTGCTGCTTGTGGTCTTTACCACTGCCGTTGTTTGTGGTTGCTGCTACTGCTGCTGCTTGTATTCCTACCACTGCTGCCGTTTGTGGTCCCTACTACTGCTGCTGCTTTGTTGCTTCTACTACTGCCGCTGCTTTCAGGTCTTCTACTACTGCTACTGCTTTGGTTGCTGTTACTGCCGTTCTTGTTGCTTCTACTACTGCTGCTGCTTTGGTCTTACCACTGCTGCTGCTTTCAGGTTCACCACTGCTCGCTGCTTGCTTCTACCATTGCTGCTGTTTGTGGTCTCACCACTGCTACGCTGCTTGTGGTCTCACTGCTTGCTGCTTGTGGTCTTACCACTGCTGCTGCTTGTTGCTTCCTATACTGCTGCCGCTTGGTCTCCACTGCTACCGTTTGCGTTGCTGCTGTTTTGCTGCTGTTTCAGGTTCCCCACTACTGCTGCTGCTTTCAGGTTCTACCACCGTTGCTGTTTGTGGTTGCTGCTACTGCTGCTGCTTGTGGTCTTTACTACTGCTGCTGCGTTGTGGTTACTACCACTGCTACTGCTTGTGGCTGCTGCTGATTGCTGCTGTTTTGTGGTTCTACTACTGCTGCTGTTTTGGTCTCATCATCGTTGCCGTTTGTGGTTGCCACTGCTGCCGCTTGTGGTCTCTACTTCACTGCTGTTGCTTGTATTACCACTACTGCTACTGCTTGTGTTGCTGCCATTGCTGCTGCTTGTGTCTCTACCACTGCTGCTGCTTGTGGCCCTACTACTGTTGCTGTTTGTATTGCTGCCACTGTTGCTGTTGGTGGTCTCATCATCTGTTGCTGCTTGTATTCCACCACTGCCACTGCTTGTGGTCGCTGCTACCGCCGCTTGCGGTCTCAACACCGTTGCTGTTTGTGGTCTCACCACCGTTGCCGCTTGTGGTTACCATCACCGCTTTTCCGTTTGTTGTCTCTACCTACTGCTGCCGCTTCAGGTCTCACCACTGCCGCTGCTTCAGGTCTCACCATCGCTGCTGTTTGTGTTGCTGCCACTGCTGCTGCTTGTGGTTCACTCTGCTGCTCTTTTAGGTCTCACCATTGCTGCTGCTTGGTTCATCACCGTTGCTGCTTGTGGTCACACTGCTTGTGGCAGTTGCCACGTTGCGTTTTGGTCTTATCACTGCTTGCTGTTTGGTGGTCTATATGCTGCTGTTTGTGGTTGCTGCTACTGCTGCTGCTTTCAGGTCTTCACCACTGTTGCCGCTTGTATTACCACTACTGCTTGCTTGTGGCTGCTGCTACTGTTGCTGTTTTGCTTCTACCACTGCTGCTTGGTTGTCTTCACCACTGCTGTTGTTTGTGGCCGCTGCTACCGTTGCTGCTTCAGGTCTTTACCACTGCTGCTGCTTGTGGTTACCATTACTGCTTCTGCTTTGTGTTGCTGCCACTGTGCTGCTTTGTGGTCTCACTACTGCTGCTGTTTGTCTCTCACTGGTTGCGTTTGTGGGCTGCTACTGCTGCTGTTTGTGGTCTTACCACTGCTGCTGCTTTTGTATTCCATCACTGCTACTGTTTGTATTGCTGCTACTGTTGCTGTTTGTGGTTCTACTACTGCTGCTTCGTTGTAGGTCTCTACTTCACTGCTGCTGTTTGTGGTTACTACTTTCGTCATACTGCTTGTGTTCCTACCACTGCTGCCGTTTGTGGCTCCCACCACTGCTGTTCTTGTGGTCTCTACTACTGTTGCTGTTTGTGGTTATTGCTGCTGACTGCTGCTGCTTCAGGTTCCCACTACGTTGCCGTTTGTGGTCTTCACTACTGCTGCTGCTTGTGGTCTTTACCACTGCTGCTGTTTCAGTGGTCTTACCACTGCTGCTGTTTGTGGCTTCGCCACTTGCTGTCGCTGCTTGTGGTTCTACCACTGCTGCTGCTTGTTGGTTCCCTCATCACGTTGCTTGTATTACCATCACTGCTGCTGCTTTGTGTTGCTACCACTGCTGCTGCTTGTGGTCTCACCACTGCTGCTGTTTCAGGTTGCTGCCACTGCCGCTTTCGGTCTTTACCACTGCTGCTGCTTGTATTACTACCACTGCTGCTGTTTGTGGCTGGTTGCCACTGCTGCTGCTTGTGGTCTCTACCATTGCCGCTTGTCAGGTTCCCATCACTGCTGCTGTTTCAGGCTACCGCCACTTGCTTTTTCAGGTCTTCACTATTGCCGCTGCTTTGTGGTTTCACCACTGCTGCCGCTTGGTTCTACCACTGCTTGCTGTTTGAGGTCTTGCCACTGCTGCTGCTTTGGTGGTCTCACTACTGCTGCCGTCTGGTCTTCATCATCAGCTGCCGGTTGTGGTTGTTTACCTACTGCTGCTGCTTCAGGTCTCTACCACTGCTGCTGCTTGTGGTTCCTACTACTGTTGCTGCTTGTGGCTGGTTGCTACTCGCTGCTGCTTGCGGTCTCCCATCACTGTTGCCGTTTTGTATCTTACCACTACTGTTACTGTTTGTGGCTGCTGCCACTGCTGCTGCTTCAGGTCTTACTCACTGCTGCTGCTTTCAGGTCTTTACTACTGCTGCTGTTTGAGGTTGCTGCTACTGCTGCTGCTTGGGTTCTACTACTGCTGCTGTTGTGGTCTCATCACTGCTGCTGTTTGTGGCTACTACTCTACTGTTGCTGCTTCTGGTTCCTCACTACTGCTGCTGCTTGCGGTCTCACTTCACTTTGCTGCTCAGTGTTTGCTGCTACTGCCGTTGCTGGTTCCATCGTTGCTGCTTTCAGGTCTCTACTACTGCTGCTGCTTGCGGTCGGTTGCCACTGCTGCCGTTTGTGGGTCTCATCACTGCTTCGCCGCTTTGTTTACTACTACTGCTACTGTTTGTGGTCTGCACCACTGCTGCTTCTGGTTCTGACATTGCTGCTGCTTCAGGTCTTCACCACTGCGGTTGCTTGTATTACTATTACTGTTGCTGCTTCAGGTCTCACTACTGCTGCTGTTTGTATTTCCATCACAGTTGCTGTTTGTGGCTGCTACTACTGCTGCTGTTTGTGGTCTTACTACTTCGCCGCTTTGGCTGCTAGCACTATAACCCATGACTCTTCAGACACTTACACCCCTACATGCATGAGTCAGGAAGGCCAGCATGATCTCCACATGTTGGACTACTGCTGCATCTTGTGACCTTGGTCGGGGTCATACAGGGTCATAAACAGAATTTATTCCCACTTACACAGTACTATTTCTGTCAAGTGTGTACGACTTTAAGTGTGCGTCCATCGGGTTGCTACAGGTCTCTCTCTCTTGAAAAAATACACCTCGATTTTATCCACGGGATTTAATTGTTAAAATACTACTACTACTACTACTACTACTTTTTTTATTTTAAAACGTGGCCTCCAGCCTCCCCAATAGCCACACCTTCGCCACCATTTATTTACCTTAATATTAAATATCCTAATACATAATAAGCTATCCTATCTGTGTTAAATTCTACTACTACTCACATCAACTAACACATATATCTATTTCATATTAATTTCTCTCTCTCTAACTAGCGCAGTCTGACTACTTATTGGTTACCATGGTGACGGCTTCCATACGTCGAGTCGGTAAATAGTCACCTGAAGATTAGACACCCCACCTTATTTCATTTGACGATTAAACACCGTAACTCTACCACGAGTATTACGTTAATGTTGGTGTGTTAATCTTCAGGTGATCCGAAACAGGATCTCTATTTGTCAGCTCGTTAGTGCATGGCGGGGCGGGCAGGGCAGGGCGGGCGGGCAGGGCGGGCGGCAGGGCGGATGGGAAAGGGCGGCGTGGCGGGGCGAGGGCGAGGTCAGGATGTGTGGGAATTTACGGAAAAAACATATCTTCCTATGTTATGTCTTATGCATGTTCGTTGGTGTAAACTATTTATGATTTGAAAAACTAACCTAACCTAACCTTCCCCACTCAGTAAGATTCATATTTTTATCCGTTTTGCCCCAAGCAGCTACAGCTAGTAAATTAGCTTTGGTTAACATAAGAACATATGAACGGAGGAAACTGCAGCGGGTCAATTGGGCCATACTGGGCAGTCCTGTTTACACCCAACCCCTATCGCTCATATATCCCTCCAACCTGTGTTTGAAGCTATCCAGCGTAGTCAATTCAATTTCAATTTCAATTGTTTATTCCTTGATAGAGGAAGCGGGATCCTAGTGCTGTCACTAGGTACCCCTGTAATGAATGACAGAGATCTGGCAAGTGTGACAAGTATATACAGTATAAATATTATAGGCTTACTAAAGCCTAAGGAAGGAAGGAAGGATATTCTTTAACACATAATCAATGTTATTTACATAATATCTGGCCAGTATGGGGAGGATCATCGTGTTCCGTCAGGTCGAGTGGTGGTCCAGCAGGCGTCACGGAAGCGTTGTGTGGGGGACATCTTAGGAGGTAGTGGATAAGGGTGTTGTCGGGTCTTCTGCATAATGCACAAGAGCGTTGCTCAGTGGGATACCAATCTCCCAAGCAAAGTCATACCCAACCAGCGTAGTCGAGTTAATAATGATATTTGGTAACTTGTTCCACTCATCCACTACTCTGTTTCCAAACCAATGTTTACGTATTTCGCGCCTAAATTTAAATTTGTCTAATTTAAAACCATTGCTACGAGTTCGCTCCCGGTTGGATAGTTAGGTTAGGTTAGGTTAAGTTAAATCGCATAAAACAGAATATCGTCCAAGTGGGATGTAATCTAACGAGTGTGATCAGTGACGGAAGGATAAGTGTACCTGTGTATAGAAATGATTACCTGTACAGCTTAATTATAGTAAAGCGTGGTAGAAGGTTTTTGTCATCTGGCCCACATAGTAAGTATAAAACACACATACTAACCTAACCTAACCTAACCTAACTCCAACCTAACCTAACCTAACCTAACCCAACCTCACTATGTTTAGTTATAAGTTATGATCAGTTTAGGTCCACACCTCCTCATACACCTGCCCACACATCTGTCCATGCACCTGTTGACACACCTGCTCATACACCTACCCACACCTGCTCACACACCTGTTGACACACCTGCTGATTGTGTATGATGGCATTATACTTGATGAGTGACTGATATGTCAAATTATCCATGCTGAGTGGGTAAAGGTGCCATATTATCCCTACTGAGTGGGTAAAGGTGCCATATTATCCATGCTGAGTGGGTAAAGGTGCCATATTATCCATGCTGAGTGGGTAAAGGTGCCATATTATCCCTACTGAGGGGTAAGCTATTATCCCTACTGAGTGGGTAAAGGTGCCATATTATCCCTACTGAGTGGGTAAAGGTGCCATATTATCCCTACTGAGTGGGTAAAGGTGCCATATTATCCCTACTGAGTGGGTAAGTTGACAATATGGATGGACTGTCTAGAATCATCATGTAATATTCTCGTTACCGTCAACAGTATACAGTTTACTCAAGGTATATTGTTGTTGTTATTATTTATATATACATGATACAACCCTTTGTTTACAACCCCCGGTTCACTGCCTCCCTTCATCCCTCCCTACCACCCCTTCACCCCGGCCACTCATTCATCCCTCAGACACTCGGTGCAGTGTGTCCAACGCCGGGGTGAACACAGACCAGTTTTCG